TATGTACGTAGAGACCATTTGATGCACATAAGTGATTTAAAGTGAGAGACGGTAAATTGCCAGAACACGAGGTGTTTCGAGGACGGGGGTGGAGGTACACTACGTGTCAACGAGACTAACCAGCCCGCAACACTTAGCGCGACTCTAGCACCTCCACACAAAGGAAAAATCGCTATGATGTCGCTCTGTGTAGAAGGATACAATCTCAAAATGAGCGCATGTCCACAATGAAACTCCCAAACTGAGAACGTCCCGGAAAATGTGCGTATTTTTGGAAGTATTGGTTGTGTTCCCCTAGCCAAATTATTTAGCCTTTCGTTACTGTAAGAGGAAAGTTTTTAACTAAACTTAAACTCTGAGAGGTAAAGATAAATGGCATCTCATGTCTTGTCCGAACATTACAATTCGTCGTTTGGATAGGACTAAGTAAGTTGGTTCGTGACTAGGTGAAATCCAGATGAATTCAAATCCGACTAATTATTTAGGGTCCAAAATAATGCCGGTAGTACTGATTCCTCGGTCCTCCTGTAAAAGTTACCCCCGAGATGATCTCTTGTAGTCAACGTTCTTTTTCATACACTTGGGAAACCTAAGTGGACCTAAAGACGTATTCAGCCAGTATTTTTACCTCCTTCCGGTGACGACAGGTCTTTTTTGTAACGAACGTGCAAACCTTCATACGTTTTCTCGTGGACCCTACAAGTGTCGTGATGACCGTGTTATAAGACACCTGTCTAACTTGGTTTCAACTCAACAAACCTTCCTTGGTGTGTTGCGATACGACCACCTCTTTTTTTTCCGTGTCGGTGTGGTGTGTAGTTTTTGGAGTAGGGTTGACGCTTCATACCACCTCCCCGTAAGTACCAAACCCCGACGGAAAAACACGGAGTCCCGGACCTGTACTAAACGGTAGACAGCTGCCCTTTTTACCTTAAAGAGTTCAAGAGTTCTGTTAAAACGACTCTCTTGAATTGCCGGTAGAAAGTGGTTAACTTCGAGTTGTCTTCCCACTACCGTTGTCTGTTGCTGGTTTCCGTGTCTTCAATTTTAGTTGTTGTCTTACCGAAGTTGTCTTCTTTATGCGGAAGACCTTACCGGGCAGTCTCAGGACTGGAGTGGGTTACTCTACGACACCGTACTGGAGTTCTCTCGCTAAAGTGTGGTCTTGTAGGGTTCTTATAAACGACTTGACTTCTGTCAAAATAATTGTCTCCTTACCAAGGTTTTAGGAGGACTGGCAACACGGGTCCAGACTATACGTTGATATCCTTTGCAAACCAACTCCAAAACGACGGTTTCCTCCCAAGTTGGTCAATAATTTATTCCCAAGTGTAATGAAAAGGTGGGACGTCACACTTACAAATGTACCACCCACAAGTTATTTTTGTATTTTTTGTTATTAAAAAACAACAACCAAAATCGAATTCGCTGACAGCAAACAGAATAACAACACTGAATCTACTTCCTAGTCTTGTGTAAAATACTGGTTAAATACGTCTTTAGGTCCATCAAGGTTTCCCAAGGTGTATGAAAAAGAACGTTGTAACATATACGTGAGATGACTCACCGTGAAATTATAATCCCAAAATATATAATTATTTACGAATTACAAATTCATCATACTGAATAACGACGTAAGTTTACAACGTCCCCAGTCCAACTTCTGGAAAAATTATGATGCGGCAAATCTTATCTTCCGGAATGGATGGTGACTTATACATACTAACAAGAGAGAAGTTACGTCTAGGAAGGGATTGTTTGATGACCCTGTTCAAACACTTCTCTTTCCACTCAAAAAGGTCTATGAAACTAAGAATTTTATAGTTCCCTTTACAGAACGTCAACTTTATGTAAACAAAACACACACACTGTAGGTCCACGACCCTATTATACCACTGTAGATGCCCGTCTCTCTCCTAACGACTCGACAGCCATACTGAACCGAATAGAGAAAAGAATGTGAGTTTGGAAAATTGCACAATATAAAATCTATTCTAGTAGACCTCAACAATGGAATTATGATCAGTGGAAATGGCCATGACATGTCTCCTTTAATATCGTCACATGCACACAGCATCGCACGCAGTGAAATGAAAGCTTTAATTTATAGTTTTCTGAGGCCAGAAGGATTATATATTATAGGTCTGTATATGTTGATACAAGGCTAGGCTGCTGCCTGACTGCTGCTTTCCCCCCCTAATTATGACAAAGAAAAACACGTTGTCGGGATAATTAAGCTCTGTGTTTTGTTATGATGCCGGCATTCGGGAAGCTGCGCTCTGATGGCAAGGATATGGAGGCGACTTTGTGCCAGCGGAGTTTACATGTCACCTTGTGGGGCTCGTCCCTTACACACTCAGAAAGATCCCATACATTGGATTTCCTGTCCGACAACATTCACTTAATGACTTCCGGCTGATGCGTCAAAGCACACGCAGCGCACAGATGGAATTATTTTTTTCCTTTATCTTTTTCCTTCGACTAATAGGCTAATTAAAAACGAGTCGACAAAGACGTTTTTCGCTGACTAACATTTAGTCAACTTTTTGGGGATAACCCTACTTGGAACCGTAAATTGGTTCAACTACAGTTCATATTGCCAAACATTGTGAATTAATATGAAAATAATAGACATTTATAGGGAAATGTGCATCAGGGGACATTACAGCAAATACCGCTGAACCACATCCGCATGCCATTAGCCCTGTCTCTCTTGACAAAAGTTTAAATTTGGAGAAATTGTTCTTGCAAATTCATTCTGGCTTGGAAAGTCTGACAGCAACATGAGCCCAGTTCTAACCTAGTCCGCCATTGTTGTTATTGTGAAGGGATAATCACACTGGTGTTGCAGCAACTTTAACGTCGATGTCATGACAGGGCTCCTCTCGGGCTCGGCTCAGTGGAAAAACAAACTGGTTCTTAAGTGGTTTTATCAAGTAGAACCCAAACTAGCCCTAGCATCGAACCAGAATGGAAATTATTTAAGTGAAAAAGAGGGCATCCATGTTCGTTGGCATCCGGTACCAGAGTTACACTTGTCCCTATTCATACTGTGTCTCTAAACATGTCACAGGGCTCTTACGGAGTGTTGAGCACCAGCCTGTCCCACTGGCCCTTGATGTCCTCGTCCTCAGGCTGCTCAGTGACATAGAGACCATCAAACTCCAGCTTTCTTGCCAGCTCCTTCTCTCTCTTGAAGATGACCAGAGGGACCTGAAGGGATTTAGAGGTAAAAGAAGATAAGCTGATTGAAACCTACAAGCAAACGCAAAACATTTCATGGATTTTTGTACAGTAAACATCTCATACCTTGAGGCAGTTGTAGCCGATGATGCAGAGGATGGAGATGATAGTGTGGACGATACCGAAGAAAGCCATGGCCGGCTCCATGTAGCCTGTGCTCTCTTCCAAGAAGTAGTACATGGGACCTTCTTCTTCCTCATCTTCACCTCCGTTATCAAATCCGGACCCATCCTCCTCAGCACCGGATCCTTCAAACAGGCCGGAGCCCTCAAACAATGCAGAACCCTCAATCTCCTCCTCACCACGAGGTGTGTCGGACACCTGGAAATGTCAGACACAACAATAAGTCTTTGGAGTGTACTTTCTGTTGCATTAACCAGTTAAGCCCCGAGCCTGTTTTTCAGGTTTCAGGCTCGAAAAAATGACATACCCAGAACAAATGACTATATCTTCACTTCTAAAAGGGGTGAATTAATAATCTTTTTTCTCAAAGCAATGATACACCTGTGAGTTGGATGTAGAAAAGTCATAATCAATATCATTTTTTTTATTTTAAAGCAAATTCAGATTGAACACATTAAAAACATTTAAATTATAGTTTCCGTTACTTATAGTGAAAACTACCCTTGAATGATGGGATAGTAAACAAAAAGCTTTAGGAATCCAAACATTAACATATAAAAAGTACCCTGTATCAAGATTGATGCAACACAAGTGAAATTTGACCTTTTTAGAGAGGTTTAGCAAATAAAACCCACCTCTGGGGTAATTTGGGTGTATTTGCCGTTTCTCTGGAACCCATTGGTCGATTTTGGTGATTGACACCTCGTTTTAACCGTTAGAGCCAGTAAAATCAAGTGGAAGTTCCTAAATCCATCTAAACATTACCATTGAGGATTGAGAGTGAAGCGCACGCAGTTTTCCCAAAACCGGAAGCTCCGTCACACTCTATATGAAAAATACGATTATTGCCATAAATATGATGATGGATTATCAGTAATCATTTCAAAGTGACACAGAGACATTGGATTAACCTTCAGCAGCGTTTATATGCGTTTTAATGCCATTGAACACAACTTTGATCAGAAAACAGCAAAGGTAAGACGTATTTGCCGTTTTGGCCCCGTAAAGTGAAGTTGTGTGATGTCTGGTTTTGCCTTCGCTGCCGTGAGTTTTGGTCACACAGTGATGATACTTATACCATTGGAATCTGTGGAATCTCAACTGTCATATGACATTGTGCGTATGCAGATCCGATGAAGTATAACATATTTATACCGTGAGTTATGTGCTAAGTGCGTAAGCACTCTTTCGCTTAGTGCTCATTCAGAGGCTCGGCTTTAGACTTGAGTTTTGTTTCGGTAAAAATGGTTCATATCGTCAGGTAGCTGAGTTTTCTTCCCGTTAAGTGTGTATGACACATTCATAGTTTGTTAAATGTTAAGAAGCCCTCAGACGCTGTTTCTTGCAAGATGTTGTCGGTGCCGGCAGGGGGCACAGGGCTTAACAGGTTAAAACCTAATTTCATGAAAGTTGAGTTCAAATTGAAAGAATGTAGGCTATTTTTGCCGTCCTTCAGACTATTGGAACATCAAAATACACATTGAGATATTGTTTTTACTAACTTTGTCTCTGTACTTCTGTAGGTTTCTCCAATATCCGCCAAAAGTTAGCATAAGATCTTTCCTGATTTCCATATTTAAACATGAAATTTCAATAAACTTACAATGCAGAAATCAACTAGGGGAAATGTCTTGGTGGTAACTTATTTCAACATGTTAACCCTATTAACCTGTAGTGTCTTAAAACATTTATGGAATTTAGAAATACAAACATTTAAAAGATATTCTGAAATGTGTTCTTTCTATATTCTAAAGGTTTTTAGAAATGGTTTGTTCATGTTTATTGCGAGCCCGATTTATATAGTTTTTTATTTTTCAACATTTTTTTTGTCTAAAAAAACTTGAAAACATCCAACAGGAGAAAAACCAAGATACTTTGCAGGAGTCAATTCAGTATGTGTCGTCTAAATTAAGTTTAGCGTGCACACACCTTGTAGAAGAGCAGGATGAAATTGAGAGCGAAGGAGATGAACAGGACCAGGAAGCGAAGGTTGTAGAAGTTGCGAGAAAGGTAGTTCTGATAGAGGGGGGGCACAACACAAAAACAATATTTTACTGCATGATTCCAAGGCATTAACATTTGGTTTAGCTTATAAATTAAATTGCATTAGGAAATTAATTGTGGGCGCAAAACCTTTTATGTCACATTGTTGCATGATAATGGTGAATTGGGTATCACACAGTCAAGTGCCTCTCTGAAGAACCAAAACCTCACCGTGGTGGAGAGGTTTGTGTGCCCTGATGAACCTGGCATCTGTTGTCTGGAACCTTGTGTTCCTGGTAGGGTCTCCCATGGCAAATTGGTCTCAGGCAAGGGGCCAGACTAAGATTGGTTCAAAGACCTCATGAAAGAAAAACCAAGAAGTGAGGATACCCGGCCCGGAGGATGCCCGGGTTCGCCTTTTGGAGCCAAGCCAAGAAGGAGGACTCGTCGGTGAGCGTCTGGTGGCCGGGCTTGCCACGGAGCCCGGCCGGGCACCGCCCAAAAAGGCAACGTGGGCCACACCGCCGCTTCTCCGTCCCGCGGGCCCACCACCTATGGTAAACAGCGATGGGGTCGGGTGCGCTGCCAGAAGGGTGGCAGTGAAAGCAGAGGGTCTCGACGGACCAGACCCGGGCGACAGAAGCTGGCTTTGGGGACGTGGAACGTCACCTCTCTGGGGGGGAGGGAGCCGGAGCTCGTGCGGCAGCGTTACCAGTTGGATCTGGTTGGGCTCACCTCTATGCACAGCGTCAGCTCTGGGACCTTACATCTGGATAGGGGCTGGACTCTATTCTTAACCGGAGTTGTGCAAGGTGTGTGGCGCCGGGCGGGTGTGGGGATACTCAAAAGACCCCGGTTGGGTGCTTCTTTGTTGGAGTTTACCACAGTGGACGAGAGGGTCGCCTCCCTACGCCTGCGGGTTTTGGGGGGGGGAAACTCTGACTGTTGTGTGTGCTTATGCACCAAACAGCAGTTCAGAGTATTCAGCCTTCTTGGAGACCCTGGAAAGAGTCCTGTATGGGGCTCCTGAAGGGGAATCTTTAATATTGCTGGGAGACTTCAATGCACATGTGGGCAATGATGGAGAATATTGGAGGGGTGTGATTGGGAGGAACGGCGCCCCTGATCTGAACCGGAGTGGTGGTTTGTTGCTGGACTTCTGTGCTAGTCATGGATTGTCCATAACAAACACCATGTTCGAACATAAGGATGCTCATAAGTGTACGTGGTACCAGAGCACCCTAGGCAGAAGGTCCATGATCGATTTCATTATCGTATCATCGGACCTGAGGCCGTAAGTTTTGGACACTCGGGTAAAGAGAGGGGCGGAGATGTCAACTGATAACCATCTGGTGGTGAGTTGGGTCGAGTGGCGGGGGAAGCCTCTGGATAGACCTGGTAAGCCCAAACGTGTAGTTCGGGTGAACTGGGAACGTCTGGAGGAGGCCCAAGTTCAGGAGGCCTTCAACTCACACCTCCGGCGGAGCTTTTCGGGCATTCCTGTGGAGGTTGGGGACATTGAACCAGAGTGGTCGGTGTTCAAAGCCTCTATTGCCGAAGCCACGTTGGGGAGCTGTGGTCTCAAGGTCCTAGGTGCCGCAAGGGGCGGTAACCCTCGAACCTCCTGGTGGACACCGGTGGTCAGGGAAGCCGTCCGACTGAAGAAGGAGGCCTTCAGGGATGTGTTATCCCGGGGGACTCCCGAGGCAGTTGCAAGGTACCGACAGGCCCGAAGGGCAGCAGCCTCAGCCGTGGCCGAGGCAAAGCAGCGGGTGTGGGAGAAGACATGGAAAAGGACTTTCGGGCGGCACCAAAGTTGTTCTGGAAAACTGTCCGACACCTCAGGAGGGGGAAGCAGGGAACCATCCAAGCTGTGTACAGTAAGGATGGGACGTTGTTGACCTCAACTGATGGAGTGTTAGGGCGTTGGAAGGAGCACTTTGAGGAACTCCTGAACCCGACAACTCCGCCCTCTATGTTAGAGGCAGAGCTGGAGTATGACGGGGGATCGACACCAATCTCCCGGGGGGAGGTCACTGAGGTCGTCAAACAACTTCACAGTGGCAAAGCCCCGGGGGTGGATGAGATCCGCCCAGAAATGCTGAAGGCTCTGGGTGTTGAGGGACTGTCATGGTTGACACGTCTCATCAACGTTGCGTGGAAGTCGGAAACAGTACCGAAGGAGTGGCAGACCGGGGTGGTGGTTCCCCTTTTTAAAAAGGGGGATCAGAGGGTGTGTGCCAATTACAGAGGCATCACACTACTCAGCCTCCCCGGGAAAGTTTACTCTAAGGTACTCGAAAGGAGGGTCAGGCCGATTGTCGAACCTCAGATTGAGGAGGAACAATGCGGATTCCTTCCTGGTCGTTGAACGACGGATCAGCTTTTTACTCTTGCAAGGATCCTGGAGGGGGCCTGGGAGTACGCTTATCCGGTCTACATGTGTTTTGGAGATTTGGAGAAGGCGTATGACCTGTTCCCAGGGAGTTACTGTGGGAGGTGCTGCAGGAGTATGGGGTGAGGGGGTCTCTACTCAGGGCCAGCCAATCTCTGTACTCCCAAAGCGAGAGCTGTGTCCGGGTCCTCGGCAGTAAGTCGGACCCATTTCCGGTGAGGCTGCGCTTTGTCACCAATCCTGTTTGTAATATACATGGATAGGATTTCGAGGCATAGTCGGGGGGAGGGGATCTGCAGTTCGGTGGACTGAGGATTGCACCACTGCTTTTTGCAGATGCTGTGTTTCTAATGGCTTCATCGGTCTGCGACGTTCAGCACTCACTGGATCGGTTCGCAAACGAGTGTGAAGCGGCTGGGATGAGGATCGGCACCTCCAAATCTGAGGTCATGGTTCTCAGCAGGAAACCGATGGACTGTCCACTCCAAGTAGGGAATCACCCCAAGTGAAGGAGTTCAAGTATTTCGGGGTCTTGCTCTCGAGTGAGGGTACAATGGCGCGTGAGATGGGCTGGGGAATCGGGGCAGCGGGAGCGATATTGCAGTCGCTTTACCGCACCGTTGTGATGAAAAGAGAGCTGAGCCAGAAGGCAAAGCTCTCTGTCTACCGGGCCATTTTCTTTCCTACCCTCACCTATAGCAAAGAAGGATGGGTCATGACCGAAAGAACGAGATCGCGGATACAAGCGGCCGAGATGGGTTATCTCCGCAGGGTGGCTGGTGTCTCCCTTAGGAATAAGGTGAGAAGTTCAGTCATCCGGGAGGGACTCGGAGTTGAACCGCTCCTCCTTCGCGTCGAAAGGAGTCAGTTGAGGTGGTTCGGGCACTTAGTTAGGATGCCACCTGGGCGCCTCCCGAGGGAGGTGTTCCAGGCAAGTCCAGCTGGGAAGAGACCGAGGAGTAGACCTAGGACCAGGTGGAGGGATTATATCTCTTCGCTGGCCTGGGAGGGCCTTGGAATCCCCCAGTCAGAGCTGGTTGATGTGGCCAGGGAAAGGAACGTTTGGGGCTCTCTGCTGGAACTGCTACCTCCGCGACCCGACCACGGATAAGCGGAAGAAGATGGATGGACAGTCAAGTACAAATATACCTAAAAAAACCATATCAGGCTAAACTTAAAATACCAGTATGTTACCTGCACATGTCAGTGTGTCACCACTCACAACATAAATGATGTACTGTGATAGACAGCTGCTCACCATGAATTTGACTCTCTGGACCTCCAGCTCATTCCACAGCTCAAAGCCCTCCTCCGTGGGTTTCTTTTCCTTCTTCGCCTTGGCCTTTTCTTTCTTCTCTTCTATCACCTCGGGCTCCTCCTTCTTTACCTCAGGTTCAGGCTCTGCTTTCTCTGTCTTCTCGCCATTCTCGGTGCTGGAGAAGACACGTGAGGAGAGAACATGTGTGATGTTTCTTGTTAAAGAGGACATAGTATGTTCATTTTCAGGTTCATAATTGTATTTTGTGACAACTGTGACATGTCTCCACCATGCTTTAATGTTCAAAAATGGTCTTTGTTTTTCTCATACTGCCTGTGAAGCCCACACTGCTCTGATTGGTGAGCTGGCCAGCTCTGTTGTGATTATATGGCAGCTCTGGCTCTGTTTGAATGGATGTGAATGGGTGAAAGCTGACTTTTTAAAGTGCTCTGAGGGGCCCTACAGCGCTATTATGGATGCAGTCCATTTACAATACAATATTGGCATGAGGAGAAGTTTTCTCTAGCAGAAGCTGATCATTTTCGATGTTGACAACTCACTCTGCTTTCTCAGTCTCTGGAGTAGCCACTTCTTCGGTATGAGCAGGTTGAGCAGGTTGCTCTTCCTCTCCTGGTTCTCCCACTGCGGATTCCAACTGTTACATAATGGCATTGCAGTTAATAAACACTTAAATGAAGAGCATACACTTTTATATATGATTACACAGAACCCCTCACCAGTTTTCTCTTCAGCAGCGGTGTGCCCTCTGGTGTCGGAGGCTCTTCAGCCGTCGTCTCACCAAAGTCCCCGAGTCCCCCTGGAGTATTGAAACCGGGCAGACGTCCACCTTCCCTCTCCTCGCTATCCTCCTCTTCCTCCCCTTCTCCCCCACCATCTAAGAGGTCTGACCCACCGTCTGCGTCTTGGTCCTCTCTAGCCCCTGGTTCAGGTGGCAGGTCGCCATGAACTTCGTCCTGCGTGGGATCTGGCATACTGGCTAATATCTCCGTTACAGTTATCTTCTTGGCGCCCTCCACTAGGCCTCCACCAAACAGCACCTTCCATGTGATTGTGAAGAAGCCCTTACATACACCGTAGACAAACATCAGGATACCCATCAGAATAGTGTAGATAAACGTAACCAGGCCGATGACCATCTCCTTCACAGTCATCTTTCTAAGTTTGCGGTAGCGACGTCGCAGGTTACGGAATGTGAACATGTTGAAGAAGTCCCCCACGCTCTTCAGAAACTCTGCGAAGGCTGAAGCTGCCTCTGGAGGGACTTCATCTCCATTGCCTTCCTCTCCTTCTACAGCCTCTGTTTGTTCTCCCCCGCCTTCATCTCCTTCCTCATCGTCGTCTTCTTCTGCATCGTCTCCCTCAGGCTCAGAGATAGACGCCGCAATGTTCATCTCAAAGATGGTGTCCTCGCAGAAGTTCACAAACATCTCCATTTTCTCACTCTCTTGGCCCTCATTGACCACATCAAAGATGAACTGCCGCTTGGACTCTCGAACTTGTGGCATTTCCCACTGGTCGCGATTAGCCTCGCTGATCTCAAAGTAAATGCGCTCAATCTTCTTGCTGGCTCCCATGATCTCGATGCGGCCGAGGAAGGGGCGGAAGTACTTGAGCACGCTCTCTGCCTGCTCCAGGAAGTTCTGAAGGCGAGTGTCGTGGGGCACGTGCTCCGACAGGTTGGTGAGCAGAACGGCGATATTGAAGCCAATGTCCTTGGCTGGCTCCTGGAAACGATCGGCAAACTCCTCAAAGTTGATCATCTCATTCTCATCAGCTTCTGAGCAAGAGAGGAGGAACTGGATTTCTGAGGGAGAGTATTGCTTCTGGCTGTCCATGGCCTTGGAGAAGTCTTTTTTGGAGATGAGCCCACGGGGGTCGGTGACGTAGTCCCGGAAGGCATCTGATGCCACGATGTCTTTGAGCTTGAGGAACATGTCGAAGAACTTGAGGATCATCTCCACGTTGCTGGAGGACTCCACCAGCATGTCGACCATTTGCCTGGCAATGGTGCCGTTCACAATATTGCCTAAGAGCAGAACACAGTTTGAAGAAATTAGATGAGAGTTTGCAACAGGAAGGAAAGGATATAACGACCCAGGGACAGAAATCATACCTTCAAGTAGAGACAGAAGCATCACCACCATTTCCTTCTGCAGATCCAACAGCTCCTTCAACAGACCAATCTGACTGGAGTCCTGAACCAAAGCCAAAACACACAGCAAAGCACAAACAGTAGAGAAGTATGGTTTTTAGAATATGTACTGACTACTGACTGGTACACAGCTCATTTTGAGAGGATTTTTGCTTTCTAATGAGATGAGAGAGTAAAACGGTAAGAGATGCTACCTCTGAGTGTGCTCTACTCCAAAAGTGATCCTGGGTTTGCATTTTACAAATAAAGAATATGCATTTTTATTATCACAAATAGTAGACTTGCGTGTGTGGTCAGCAAGACAAGACACTTAAACACCGTCAGGTATGAGAGGAGGGGAGAAAATGCCTCTGCGAGACAGAATCCCATTTATCTGAAAAAGTGGCCTCAGCAAGAAAGCAGGGAACACGTAAGCATATAGACGCTGGTCGTAGCATTCCTGAAGACCTGCACCAGCAGATAACACAAGCCATACATATTTGTTGTAAGTCTGGTGGAAGTCTACAAGAGGGTGTAAGGATTTGCAAGCATCAGCCACACAACACAAAGCAACTAAATATATTAAACAGCAAAATAAAGCTAAATGAAAAGAAGCAAAGCATGGTATTAAGACTCTTTAAAAAAAAAAAATTCTTATAAGTCATCAAGGAATAATCGATCTTTTGTATGGAGAAAGCTGGTATTTGTTTGAAAACACCTCTACAGTAAATATACTAAAATCTAGAGCCAGAAAGCAGCTAATCATACTTTATTTATCAGTTTAGTATCATCACTTTTAATAGTCAAAATGTGTTTAAACTGTCACTACACCCAAGTGTCCGAGTTACACATGTTCCTCGTGTTCAGGAATTATACCCAACTGACTTGATGGCTCTTTAGAGAACTTAACAAAAAAAGAAATAATACTGTTAAACGCTAAAGAAAAACATGAAAGGCTGTATAGGGAATAAACAGAAGAAACTGTGAATGATTTCTGTATTTTGTTGAGTAATAACTAGTCACATGAAGGAGGAGCGCTTTGTAAAGCATGATGGTCCTCTAAATGAGATGGTGATGATTCTTACGTTGTTGCGTTGTCCAGAATCAGGGAGCATCTAACAGGGTTACACACATAGACTGTATATATAAGGTGAAACATGACAATAGAAATGTTACTATCAAAATGTTTTATTTACTTTGGTATTTCTCTAAACCTGGAGGTTATTTACAGATTTAATGTAAATGTTATTCTGATCATTTAATATAAATAAACAGTCTTTCAAACAACCTGAATCCTGATGAACTGGCACTGATCTGCTTTAATATCCAAAAAGAACATTTAGCATCTATTCAGCGCACATCTATAAGTATTTAGTTGTTTCAACATTTGAAAGATATTCCACATTTAAAAATTCAAATTCATGCATACAGTACACACATTTTAAACAGGAGAATCAGTATCAATCAACAGAATATTAGAATTAGTGACCAAGGCAACTCCTTGTTAGGTCAGACAGGTTATAGACTGCAGACACACACAGGTTAAAGCACAGCTCATCAAACCTAATCACTGGTCAGTATTAGAAAACCGAAATATATTTAAATCAGGTGAGGAGGATTTATTGTATTATAATAATAACAAATTATATTTATATAGCGCTTTTCTGGAACTCAAAGAACGTACATAACCAGGAAGAAAATGAAAGAGAAAGAAAGGACCTTGAGTTTTTTCCACAAATTGTTTCTGCCAACTTAACTTGAATTCATGTTGTTGTACTATCTGTACAACATGGCTACCTAAAAACAGCATTTAAAAAAATCTACATTCATGGATACATTTGGAATATCTGTAATATAATGTATGCATATTTTGGTTGTATTGAAGTGGAACTTCATAAAAAATACGGCTGTCTCCAAGTGTGATGTTAAAAAGGAAGCTAACCAGAGGGTGTTACTTTGACCACTCGGAAATTAATAAAATACCATCACAAATACATGTTAAAGAATATATCTACTTAATATCGTATCATTTGGACCGTATTCCATCTAAACCCTTAATGCTCTGTTGACTTAGTAAATTGTTACCTACAGTAATCTGAGGTTATCTTGCTTTAACAAAAAAAGTAAAGAGGCAGAAACAATCTGTCAAAGGAAAGAGGGGGGGAAAGCTGGTTAAGACATACAAATCTATTAATTAAACAAAAGAATAATCAAATAAATACATACTTTACTTTGCAGGAACCATGAGAGAGACAGTTCACAAAATGAGTATACTCAAATTGGACTAGAGGATCAAATGTATACATTTATATTTGAAAATTGCTTTAAATTCATCTTATGTTTAACTGTAATACAACACTTATTTATTTGGATAATTTGAAATCTGAATAGATCTGGATTCTATACAGAAATTATTAATGGAGTATACAAGAAATAGAATGGTAAAATGGTAAAAAAAAAAAGGCAAAAAAATGAGGTTATGTCTTGGCTGTTTCTTACCTGAGCGAGTTTCATCATCATGTGAGCAAAGACGTGCAGGAAGCCCACTACCGCATCCCACAGCCTGCTGTGAGCCAGGGACTGCTGGTTCCCAGTGCAGGGGCCCTGGAAATGGAGAGGATATTCCAGTGCAGTCATCATGTTTGGACATATATTTTAACATTGTCTTGTGTTTCAAAGTAAATGTTTCAGATAAAAAAGCTTATATTTTAGGTTGAAATCTAGCTTTATAATGTTCTTTTAGTTGACCATAGTGTCTTGTTTTGGTTTGTCAGATGGCTTGTTAGTATGACTTGGTTATGAAAGTAGGTTTTATAGTAATACTTATATTATGAACTTATCCCAACTTGTTTCCCCTTGCATAGGACTACAAAAAGCATCTTATAAAGGGTAAGAGACGTCAACTTAAAAGTACCAGCTTCACTATGGTTTGCAGAGGTCCTAGGTTATGGAATTAGATTGATGACACCATAAAAATACCTTTATCTGTGTTTTTAAAAAGAGCTTAAGACAGCAGTCGTTGAGCACAAAAAGTCAAAGCTAGAATACATAAAATGACTGGAGTTTCAACTTTAATTTACTCTAAAGTGCATTTAGTTTACCATTATTATCCTTTTTATCAATTACCTTTGTTTATTTTACCTATTCAAACCAAAGGTGGGACCATTTATGAGTTAGCATTAGATTTGGTTGGTTTTTAGGGTATTTGGCTAGTGTTAGTTTTCTTTTAGCTTGTAAATGTTTCTGTAAAATACACAAAATCTCTCAAATTCTAGAAGTGTTAGTAATTTATATTTAAAAAACGTACCATTTCGTGTTTGGGCCCACATTCTTAAGTTTCGGATAGTTTATTGAGATGTCCTATTGCCTATATCTCCATCATCCCTTATGATTGTACTTTAAACTGCTGTATTTAAACCTTTTTCTTTTGCAATATTGAAAGGCAAATTTCCCCCATAATTTGAGGAACATGCTAAACATGTTGCATTCAGGCTCCATCCTACAACAATTGGGTGTTAGCATTGAAGGGACAAACTGCTAATTTAACCCCTGGTCTACAAATCATCTTTTGTATTAACATTCAAACATTCAACATTAAAATAATCTATTGTTCATTCTTACCTGGATGTACTCAGTCAAGCTGTTGAAGACCTGTTTGGCCACAGTCATTGCTTTGGAGAAATTCCTCTTACCAGGCTCATCAATGATGTCTTTTCCTGAGTAGTACCAGTAAAAGTCACTGATGGACTCCTGTATACAGGGAGGAGGAACACAACGTGTTACGTTGAATTTAATCTATCAAATTGGTTTCTAAAATACATATTCAGTGCATGAGGTTAAGGGATACAGTATGTAAGAGCCACTTAAGCACATTCATATTTTTTAAATAACTATGTTAATGCCCTTGCTGACCTAAAAAAAAAAAGCTCTGGGCAAAAACAGAGGAGCATTATAAAAAAAAAATGAAATCTGTACTTGAAGAATGGCCCGATCACCGTTACTGATGTCGTTGCCTTTCTTGTGTTTGGAGTTAGTGTCTACACCAGTCGGCAATTTAAAAATATTAAATATTTGAAGGCCAATGTAATTAACGTTTGACAATAATAAGCTAAAAAAGTAGTCAGTAGGAGTGATGTCAGAGCTCCTATCAGTGACCTGTAGTCGCAGCAGGTAGTCCACAGTGCAGATGATGATGTTGATGGTAGTGGTGCTGCCTGTCTGAGTTCTCAAATAGTTTTGGAAGTCTGAAAAACAGAAACATGAAGCACTTCAAAAGAGGTTTTTCTAAAATTGGACTGGCATCATTTAGAGTAAAGTTATATGAGTGAGCACTTTTCACAGGAGGTAGGCAGTCGTCCTCCAATAGGAGGGTTGGTGGTCCGATCCAAAGCCCCTGCAATCAATATGTTGAAGTGTCCTTGCACCAAATTGCTACCAATGTCCAACAATGTTTGCATGTGTCTGCTTGTTAGGGCTAGGGTTAGGATCTTCCTGAGCAGGTGGTACCTTATGTGGCAGCCTCTTCCTCTGTATGAGTGTTTGTGAATGGGTGAATGCTAACCCTTATATGCATATACTGTACATATGTATATTACCTGAGTATGGTTGAAAAGACTGGAAAAGCGCTATATAAGTGCAGTCCATTTACCATTTACCCTCAGTGTTTGGTAGTCACTCACCGTTATTGTGGCCTTCACACAAAAGCTGCAGGAAGCGGAAGATATCACAAGTAAATTCATCGTCAGCCATCACTTTCTCATCTGGATATAGGAACACAGGAAATGCATTACAATATTGTTGAAAGGAAAGATGAAACTGCTCATGGACTGTGCTATTCGGTTAAAATACACAGTTGTAAACAGAAAACGGCACAAGTTATTAGGTAATTAAAGGAAATACCAGTGTATTTTATCAATGTGTCTGCATCACTGTGTACATACATACATATATGAGCGCAGTGATATGACAGTTATATACATACAAAGTCAATAACAAATATTTTATAATTAAAGTGGCAATAACGTTCTCTCAATAAAACAATACACTGGTAGATGTCTCCATCTTAACAAGTCATTTGTATCCATCACAACAGGCTTAATAATTGTGCCTATGAGGCAACATTATTTTAGCAGTTTGATAGACAAGTCAACTTCTTACGGAATATTTAAAAATAAATAAAAACTGGTAACTTCAGTTTACTGTTATTTTTAGGTAAAAATAAATCTAAATCCGAAACCAAATTACTTGCTAAAACAAAATGCAAATTATTCAGATTAGAAAAGGCATTAAATTAGTTATTTAATTATTAAGAATGGTGAAACAGTGGTTATGTAATCCCAATTAATATTACTCCTCTACCCATACACACTAAACACTGCACAATGCTCTGTGCAGTGTCAGATTTAGTAGTAAATTACTGTTGATTAGTAAAAACCTTATCAATAGATGTGGTGATGGGAATAATATTGTAATGGTATTGTAAAGTCTTTGAATGTACACACGTTGAATTGCCAAAAAAAAAGAGTACAAATGGTAAGTGTCACTTCATATTACTCCCCTGCTTTCATTAGAATATGTTAGTGAACACCACAAAGACCATTTGTCAGCAGGAGAGGGCGGCTGAGGCTTCACTCTGCTTCCCTCCCCTAAACTGTACCTCTCTAGCACCACTTTTTTACAGAAAACATACTTCGACAAAACTCAAATGGACAGCGGGTCCAACCACGGGTCACGTCACATTGAAATGGACATACAAAATACAGATATATGAAGACAGGAAACCATGGAATTTAAATATATATATCAAAGAAAACACAACTGAGGAAAAACATACAGATGTAAACAGTGAACACAGATAAAAATGCGAAGGCACACCGTCATGCAGGACAGATCTACTGCAAACTCCAAGAAGCTTTGTCAAAGCACGGATGTTGGGAAATAATTGGGACCTAAAATAAAACTTAAACATGTGTGGTCAATGTGCCAAATTGTTTCACAGATAGTCAGTGTCTATAAAGGGAAGCTCCTGTAGTGATCTTTGAAAATGTATTCTTAGATATAGGATCACAAGATTGATCAATGTTCAAGTGAGATATTAAAGGACCGCATGGTATGATATTAATGATTGTGTAACATTTGAGCAGAAGTGCTCATGAAATGATCAAAGGTGACACTCTGGATAGATCAAGGAAAACAATGGAAACAAGCACTGCCCCTTATGCTGCTATTGGCCTTTAGGCGCGAAAATAACTATTTCTATTTCCAATATGTGATTAATTAAATTTGAACATGTACAGCGATTGTTGGCGCTCTGAGGAGCTGCTGGCTGTATGAGAATGCTTAGAAGTCAGCTTAGAAACCACGCCAACAATGTTTTATATTTTCTTTTACTGCCTGAGGGTAGAGACAAGTCCACACTGCAAGTCTAACCATAGGGTGTTAAATAATAATTGGTGATAACTTGCTAGATAGCAAACATTGGGTGTTTCTCAATGTCGAGGAAGGCTGCTCCAGAGCCACTATTTCAAGCATACTACATCGAGTGCAGCCGAAGGACTGTTCCAATGTCCAGCATACTTGGAATTCTACTGAGCCTGGCGTACTTCTTAGCGAGAAATGTTGAGGCTGCACATGTGTAGACTCCGCAGTCTTAAAATCCCCACAATGCTTTACGCACCGACCAACTTCCCAAAATCTGTGGCGGAAAATGTAAGGCGGGGCCTCTCATATGACGCACACCTGCACACTTGCTCGCTTGTTCCACTCTTCGTTTTCCGAATGCCAGGAAGGATTCTTGCCTGGCTTCTGAAGGAAGTGACTCGGAAGACATGTGCTACCAAGCAAGCATACTCGACATTGAGAAACACCCATTCTCTAGCTAGCTTGTTAGTTAGCTAGCTATAGGTAAGCTAACATTTAGTTAGCTTACCTATAGTTAGTTAGCATTTAGTTAGCTAGCTAACTAGGTAGATAGATAGGGAATGTTAGCTAACTTTATTTATAGACAGATAGATAGATACATCACATTCGCTAGCTAAATAGCTAACATTCTCTATGCTGAATAGCTAAAGTTGGCCAGTTAAATAGGTATAGTTAGCAAGTGAAAAGCAGACTGACAGGTTAATTGATGCTGGTCTCTAAGTTAGCTTTTTTAAATTATAAACGTCAACACTGTGGACCTTTGTCTATCCTTCTGGCAGTGAGAGTTATTATAAAATGTCGACATGAGCCTAAGTAAGCAGTCCGACTGGCTGTTTTGGTACTTCTTGTAGGTTCCTCATAGCAGGGTTCATCAACACCACGGGACACTACAGAGTTATTAAAAACATCCTCATCCAATGATTTTGGGCCATTTCTATGTCCTCCTGCCAGTTAACTTGAAATAGCTGTGATTTATATCGAATACAAATCATTGTTTACAATGCTGTTAGTGCTAAACCGGAAGAACAAAGACAAAATCGATAAAACCGGAAGTGGCAAATCGCCAAAGGGCCGATGCTACATAATGTGAATATCTGTCTGTCCATCCTGGGTGAGGGTTCCCTCCTTTATAATAATAATAATACGTTCGAAAGCACCTTTCATTGCTAACAATAATCCCAAGGTGCTACAGGAGGCGTGATAAAAACAAACAAAAGTTTAATCAAAAGCTTTTTTTAAAAGAAAGGTTTTTAAGCCTTTCTTGAAGGCGTCAGTGGTCTGTGGAGTCCTCAGGTGGTCTGGGAGGGAAATCCACAGATGAGGAGCAGCTGCACAGAAAGCCTGATCCCCCATTGTGCGGAGTTTGGTCCTCGGGGGGCGAAGCAGATGGTTGGTTGTGGAGCGGAGGTTGCGTGTGGAGGTTTTTGATGTGAGAAGTTCCTTCAGGTATGGAGGAGCATTCCCGTGGATGGTACCGGCACAGTAGTCGGGCGTACCTTATAGTAAGGTAACGATGCGACTCCTGTTGCGTCGATATTATTTGCGTGTATTGGATCAGGGTGTTAGAAGCGAGTGACAGTGTAGTAGCGTGGCGCAAGGGTAGTTGTACGGAAATGTGGACGTAACTCCCCTATTTCCGAACTACGTCGTTTGGAAGGATGTCGATATCGAGCGTTTTTCTCTTCCGTAAAATCAACCGTGTGTTGTCCAGGTCAGTAGGGGCGTATTGGTGTAATGGAAAGACCCGTTTTGTATGGCGGGGAGGTTGTTCGTCAATGGTTAGACCCCATCTAAACTGGCTGTTAGACTGCGCAAACTGTGCGGGGTAGTTTTGGCAAGTTTTGCCGGGAAGTGGTGGAAAGTCCTTGTAACCGTTTGTAGGCAGGTGTGAGAGGGACAGTCTACGACTTGTGTTGACCAGGTACGGAAGCAGAGGAGTTCCAGCTATGCGTTGCGACGAGGAGGTAGCCCTCGAGGATCGCCCTCGGGAGTCTTCGAGGTTATGCTGTCTTGGCACCGGCGATCCTAGGACTACTCCCATTCTTTTTTATGTTTGGTGCTAGTGTGCGGCAAAAAGGTAAGGGCAGGCGGACGGAAGGACAGGTAGCGTCCTAGCTTATCGTTCTTAGAGTGATCGACTGGCGGTAAGTG